TTGGTAGTCATTTTTCCATCAAGTAAATACGGACGCGGAAATTCATCACCGACTAAAGTGCGCCAGCGCAGCTTCTGGACGTCTCTTGAAAAGGGTGTTTGACGACCACGACAAAAGTGTCTACCCTACGCTCACGGCCTACAATGCTATCGTCATACCAACACTTCTGAGGATGCCAAACCTGGGCAGCCTACAGAGGTTACCTGAGGTGTTTAGAAGCAGCGCTGCTGAAGAAGAATACTCAGGACCGGCGAAACAAACAGTATCTTTAGGGAAACCAATAGAAACTTTCATCGTTTGCATGACGCATGCGCGAAACTGTCAAAAGCGACGTCTGTCAATAGACAGTTCGACGAGATCGACAAACAAAATATGTTCTGTGCAAAACATAGAACATGCATAATGCCATTTTTTCACATCTTCAAGTTTGCAATAATCCTCACGTTGACTCGTTGACAATGAGACAGCCAGAAGACGAGGTCGACAAACAAAATACGTTCTGTGCAAAACATAGAACATGCATAATGCCATTTTTTCACATCTTCAAGTTTGCAATAATCCTCACGTTGACTCGTTGACAATGAGACAGCCAGAAGACGAGGTCGACAAACAAAATACGTTCTTTGCAAAACATAGAACATGCATAATGCTATTTTTTCACATCTTCAAGTTTGCAATAATCCTCACGTTGACTCGTTGACAATGAGACAACCAGAAGCTACACATCTCTGAGCTACACTTATTACACGAAACACAGTCTTTTTGATGAGATGGATCAGCGGCAAATTGACCTTTCCTCACACCTAAGCAGGGCTTCGGAAACTTAAGAAGAGTATGCAACTCGTTCGACTATCACTTTCACAATCGCCAAACACACATCGCTTCACCGCCCCTTGATGAAACATGTCACGTTCTCCCAAAACTTCCATAGTTATTAAATTTAAGCCCAAAATTAGAAAAATTAATAACATTGACGTTGCTATTTATAGGTTATATGACTTTGTTTGTCGACTTTCTGTCAAAGTCATAGAAAAGTGATTTATAAATTCTTAGATAGAACAGTCACTGGATTCATCCCCTCCACCCCTCGTTTTTATTTTAATCTGTGACTTCGCCGATGAGTTAGCTATCTTTGTTTACTGGATGGGAAATGACAATGACCGACATAGAATGGTGGATATAAAAACCAGTCATGAAAACGCAGGTCCATTTGACATCATAATATAATGCATATGTCATCTGAATTAATTTGTTGAGTGAATCATCATTGATTGTTTTGAATTCCAAGACTGTGAAAGAATTAATAAGTGCATCACAAGCAGCCGGTTTAAGAGTTGTTACCACAATGTGTGACCAGGCGGCAAAAAATAAATCGGTCAAAAGCGAATTCCAGCCACAGACCAGGGAAATCTACATCAAAAACAACACAGAAACAGAAATTTTGGTTTTGTTGGAGATAAACAACCTAGTGCCACTGTATGATGCTCCATAATACATGTTCGAGGGAATTATAAATTACTTGATCAAATATGACAGTCATTCAAATGGAAAAATGGACATTTTCAAAAAGCAAGTTGGAAAGTTTTTCAGTTAGCTTATGAGTCAGATACGCCAAATCATCTAGATTATAGACTATTTTATTCATTAAGTGATTCTCACAAATATATGAAGTAAAATGTAAAATGTGTTTTTTTTTAAAGATAAAAGTAAAAATGACATTATGTTGGCAATACAATGTAAAATTGTCAATCTTTCAAATTTTTTATGTAGAAAAGGCTTGTGTTGCCAACATAGTTACTAAATTTTTGACATGGGGAATTATCTTTAAAAAAAAAACAGACTTTATAAAATTTTAGTTTATGAAGTTTTGGAGCACTGTTTTATTTTGAAATAATTGAAATATCAAACGAGTAATTTGAAACCGAGATTCAAACGGCATGCCAAATATTAGTTCAATGACTACATCGCTATGGCAGCACCGTCGGAAATGTCACTGGGCGACTACAACTGAAGTGAGCGTTCTATATCAAGAATATAGGTGGGTTCTAACAGACATTTAATTCAATTTAGCATTTAATATAATTTAATTTAAAAAGTTTACTATACAATACCATATAACAGCGTTCATACAAAATGTTAATTTAAGACATAATATAACTTAATTTAAAAGTTGGCCAACTTTCAAAATTAAATTAAATTAAATTTGGGGTTCATCATTGATTTTCATCAGTTTGACAAGGCAGGTGACGGATAATGACATTTTTCTATATCATTAAAAAAATTACTGTATGAACGCCACAAAGTAAAATTATATTAAATCTTAAATAATTATGTTAATATAAAATTAAATTAGATTTCTGTTAGAACCCAGCTTATAAATCACTTTTCTATGGTCAAAGTCAGTCATAATGAAATCTTCTATTTATTCCCTTCGTAACTAGCCAACGCCGCAAAGGAAGGTAATTTAAACGAGACAAAAATATCGTCAACTGGCGACTGGAAGGCCCCATTTTCATTTGATTTTGAAAATTCTAGATCACATAACTTCTAGACAATAAACGTATTTCTCAATTCGGGATATAAAGTATTTTTAATACCTATTTAGAAGTACCTGTCGTTCTAGTGACAAAACGTATGTCGCTTCTTGACACACAAATAAAACTAGGTTAGGAATTTCCTATTTGTACATGAAATTGACGTATTAGCAATCGACGTTCGTTTTTGTTGGTAAGTTTTTGTTTCATCTGATCCGTGATTGATAAATAAGGATGGGGTTGTTCTAAATGGGTATTAAAAATACTATACCTATTGATATTGTGAAAGTTGACAGACTGGTTGTGGACTGGTTAATCAAAACTGAAGTATAGCCAGACACGTGCCTATTTCCTACTGATCTGACAATAGCTAGTTTACAACAGCGACCAGCTAGCAGCTACCGCTGATTGGGTGTGCGGAGTGGGAGAAATTGTGGGTCCAGAATAGGCTTATTTAGGTATCAAAGAACCCACAGGTAATGACGCTGCCAAAATTAATACTCGTTCGCGAGTGAATGCCTATGATGATGATGATGATTTTTAAGTAGGTACTAAAATTATATAATTTCAATTAGGTAGCAACTTAGATAATATTTATATTATAAATCTGGTTAAAATGTTTATTATTCCTTTAATCCTAGCATAAAAACTAAAAATGCGATTGATCATTTATTGGTCGCGCGACCTGGCTACGCGACCTAACCGATAATGCATGAAAGCCTAAAGGCCGTAAATGTTATGTCAACATTTTTATAAAGTGAGAAAAAATTGGTGCTCCTGCATTTGATATCTTTTAAACTTACAATAACTCGAAAATGGCTTGTTGGATTTTTTTGTGCCAATGATAATTTTTGTTTAGAATGTCCAGAAGCACGCACAACATGTCCAAATTTCAGGTAATTTCACCGGAAAGAAGAGTAAAAATAGATAGATAGATATGTATAATAAAAACGTATATTTAAACAAAACTAGTTTCTGTTTAAAATGTTTCAAATATATTTGCCGGCGCTATCTTTCAATTTATATCAAAACTGCCATCGGTAACATTTGCTCCGTCTGCTGATAATTAATTTCATAGAAAATGGAAAGTCATTAGCTCTGAAGCCCCCGAGTAGAAAATTGTTTGTCTGACAGCTAAATTTCTTAGATAAAGATGAAATATTTTTGCCTCGACTCTAGCCCTTGCTCCTTCACAGTCTTAAGGATTGTTTCAGGTTAAAGAATTTCTCATTCGTACATTCCTTTGACTTTTCAGGATAAGCCCTTAAACCCCTAGGATAAGTTTTTTTAAAATTTATGCAGCATGAATGGACATTGGCGCCGCTGGTTCTCGATATTATAGAAGGCGTCGCTGGCCTGGCAGGAATATGAAGATAAATGCGACTGCATAATGCATATGCGCACGTACGAAACGATTAACAGCACACGCTGCTTCTAATTTAGTGGCGGTCACAGCACGCGGAATTCATTACAGGGTAGCCGGCCAAACGCCACCAATTTACAGAGTATATGTCACGTGCGACCGGGCACCGGGTTGTAATTGTCTCCCATTTAAAAGTCCCGTCGCGAATTTATAATTTTGGGTAAGCCCTGCTATTATCTGGAATCCTCCTTTGGAATGCAGATGGTGAAATTTTCCGAGAAAAGAAACTATATCTACATTTTTATGTAAGGAAATTCAGGAAACTGAAATACATAGCTAATAAACCGCTCGATACTTTTACTGCAATCCTTTTGTTGTAGCTTTTAGCTGATTGCAATACTTCAATATTTTTTTAAACTGCTATATCAAATACTACATTCAAAGCATAGACTTGGTAATTCATATTATCATTTTCACATTTAATAATCTATTATCATTAATGAGCTTTCAGAACAGTAAATCTGAGTTGGAAAAAAATTGAATTTTTGTCATACGCTCCCAAAAACAGCTATTTTACGGACTCATTCAAGTCCGTAAAATGCTTCTATTTAGGATTTTTTTTTCTTTCGGGATGCACCTTTATGATTTCAAAAATTAAGGAAATTTTGCAAATTTTAGCGTTCTGAAGAATTCTAAAAAGCGTATGACAAAAAATAGTGTTTGTCACACGTACCTAACGAAGTATTTTAGGACTCATCTGCTATTCCCAGGAAAAGTAAACGCATCTCACAGAAGTGTATTACGTTCATGGCTCCAAAAATATTCAACCTTATACCTTTAAATATAAAAAATCTGATAGACCACAAATTCAGGTTTAAGAAGAAATGCAAATTTTTTCTATTATCGTTGAATTATGCAACATTAAGCGACGCTTTTTCAGTCGTGTTTCGGTACTGGTGACAAACACAAGCGCGTGATTGTTTACATTCCGTGAATTCTTGTATCGCATAGGCGATTTTTTACCGGTTTCATAGGCCAAATATTTAACATTTAGTGGATGAAAATTAAATTAAATTAGTAGAGGTTTCTTTCTTTCGTTTAAAATGGCTTCTCCCCCCGGTGGGGAGGGCACTAGTGCACAGACACAAATAAATAGTAGTGAAAAAGCTGTTGAAACAATGGATGGTGACTTCGGGGATATTAGCACGGATAAAACACAAACCAAAAAATGTTTTAATACATTTACGGATAAGTACAACCTCAGTTGCATTTATGTTATGATAGAAAATACTTCAAAAGAAAATTTTGGTCGTGTTCATCCTCTGAGAGTAGGACACATATTACATAAAAAACTAATGATACAAAATATTATTGAAGTTAAGGCCGTGGGAAAAAATAGAGTTAGGGTACAACTTAAATCTCTTAAAGATGCTAATCTATTAATCAATAATGTAGCTTTGGAAAAAGAAAATCTTAGAGCTTTTATTCCTAACCACTTATTAGAAACTAAAGGGTTAATCAGAGGGGTTGATACGTTTTTTGAAGAAAGCTACATCTTACAAAATATAAATTCTAGTAGTAAAGTTACAGAAATTAAGAGATTCACTAAAAAAGTTTATAAAGAAGATTCGTCATTTATCGTGAAAAAACAAACTGTTCTTATTACATTTGAAGGTAACATTTTACCGGCAGAAGTGTCTATAGATACAGTTTTTTTTCCTGTAGAAATGTATTATGGAAAAGTGACACAATGCTTCAAATGTTTAAGCTACGGTCATATTTCTAAGCAATGTAAGTCTAATAAACATCTATGTGTTTCATGTGGAAAAGATAAAAATGAGGATACTGAACATTCTTGCACTGCGGTGGATATACATTGTGTACACTGTAAAACAGGCACACACAAATCATATTCTAAAAATTGCCCATTTTTTGAAAAACAAAAAAGTCTAAAAAAAATAATGATTGATAACAAAATAACTTTTAAAGAAGCCGAAGCTCTTTACAAAAATTCCTACTCAGGAATAATAGTAAATAATAGGTTTAGCCTATTAAATGATCCCATAAGTTATGATAATCAATTTCCATCCCTACCCGTAAATCGATTAGGTAACAATGCGTCAAATAAAAAACCCCCTGCACAGAGATTTACAGCCATATCTCAACCTTTACCTAGCACTAGTAACAATAATCATAATTTTAAAAAAAGAAAACAAAATTTTTCCCCATCTCCTCAAGCACAACCGATGTTTCCATTTGTGTTTGGCTCCTCAACCCCCCTCACTCCTATGGGAAACAATAAAGAAACGTCTGATGAATTTACTGAAATAGGTACACTACTTATTAATACTTTAACTGAGTATTTTGTTAATCTTGTTAAGAATTGTAACTCCTTGGATGATATCAGAAAGATAAATTTTGAAAATATAAAAAGTAAATTAAGCGATATCATAAGTGAAAGTAATCCAACAAATAAATAGACAAAATGGCAAATAAAAATACATCCAATAAAATTAATATTCTGCAATGGAATTCACAGTCTGCAGTTTCCAAAAAAAGAAGTTTAGAATTATATCTTCAACAAAATAACATTCATATTGCCGCTATTAATGAAACTTGGTTTCAACCAGGTAAAAACATTAATTTTTCTGGCTACAATATTCTAAGACAGGATAGAGCTGATGGAAGGGCAGGAGTTGCAGTTTTTATTGATAAAAGCCTTGCCTTTTCTTCAGTTAATTTTATTCAAAACTATAATTCTGGTATAATGGTATGTGCTGCCTCAGTGTTCATAAAAAATGAGAAAATTACTTTTGCTTCAATCTACAGACCTCCTAATGTTAAGACTAGTTATAGTGATTGGATAAATATAGTAAATCAAATTCCTTCGCCATTTTTTATATTAGGTGATTTTAATGCCCATAGTAAGGTATGGGGCTCTCAAAAAAATGACCTTTTGGGAGAACAAATACTACGTGTAATTGACGACACTAACCTAATAATTTTAAACAATGGATCGTCTACTAGAAAAACCCGCCCCAATGAACTGGATTCTGCTGTTGACATCAGCTTTATCTCACCTGATTTAGGATCACGGGTTAATTGGATTATTGAAAATGACTCTCTTGGGTCAGACCATTATCCCATTTTGATTAATCTTGAATCAAAAAATCTCTTACCTATCACAATAAACCCCAAAGTCAAATGGAATACCAAGAAAGCTAAATGGCTTGACTATACTATATTTATAGAAAACCGCTTTTTGAATAGCCTCATACCACATACGACGGAAGAAAAATATAAATTTTTAATTAGTACGATAAACGATGCAGCAAAGCTATACATTGCGGTTAATAAATGCAGACCATATACTAGACCACCCCCTCCGTGGTGGAACCCCTCCGAATGTGACCCAGTCATTCAAAAAAGGAAAAATGCACTTCTGCAATATAAACAAAAACCATCTCTAGAAAACTATATATTATGCTCCAAGGTCGAAGCTGAAACTAAAAAATTTCTCAAACAAAAAGCTAGAAATTCATGGGTCTCATTTTGCTCCAATTTAAATAAAAACACAAATTCAACCGAAATATGGCAACAAGCTAGAAAAATGGCTAGGCAAAACATTAAGTTAAAACCTTCCTCTAATATTTGGTTAGAGGAGTTTTTTGATAAAGTTACTCCTCCTTTAGTTAGGAAGGAACCCAAAAATGTTAATCTGAACTATCCTGAAAATCATTTCTTATGTCGGCCTTTTAGTCTGGATGAGCTTGAGTGCTCACTTAAAACCACACGCAATACAGCTCCTGGAATTGATGACATACAGTATATCATGCTCTACAACTTACCCCACATTGCCAAGGTTACTCTACTTGACATTTATAATGATATATACTTACGTGGCAAAAAAATTGAAGAATTTGAGCACGTTGTAGTAGTCCCCATACAAAAACTGGGTAAAAACCCCGATCTAGGCAGCTCCTATAGGCCTATTTCCCTGTTATCTTGTGTGCTTAAAACCTTTGAAAGGCTTATTAAGTATAGATTGGAATTTTGGCTAAAAAACAAATGCCTCTTACCACCTAATCAATACAGTTATAAAAAAGGCTTTGGCTCCTTAGATGCTGTTGCACACATAACTACAGACATTCAAACTTGTTTTTCGTCAAACGATTATCTTGCTGGCCTATTTTTAGATATTCAGGGTGCTTATGACTCCGTAGACCTAGATATTCTTCAGGTCAAACTTATTAATCAATTTCTAATACCGGAAAATATAGCACAATCTATTGTGTCACTATATCGTGTAAGGCAAATTTATATCAGAAATAATGATAATGAAAAAATTGGACCAAGATTTGTCTATGATGTAGGGCTACCTCAGGGGTCGGTTTTAAGCCCCCTCCTGTTCAATATAAACACTGCAGATTTACATAACATACTTCAATCATCCAGCATTATCCAATATGCTGATGATTTTTGTGCCTATAAAGTATGTAAAAAATATGAACAGTGTACTAGCAGTATACAAATGTTATACCGTCAAATATCTAAGTGGGCTCTGCTAAATGGTTTCAACATATCATTAGAAAAATCTAATGCATGCATTTTTACTCGACATAATACCCCTATAGTGAATTATGTTTATGTAAATAAAGACATTAGAATTCCATGCACAAATCAAGTAAAATACTTGGGAATAATTTTAGACAAAAAACTTAGCTGGAAAGATCACATTGATAGCATAGTTATAAAATGCGAAAGGGGTTTAAATTTCCTAAGATGTGTCACTAAAACTTGGTGGGGATGTGATGTTAGAACGGCTTTAATTTTTTACAAAAGTTATATAAGATCGATTATTGATTATGGGTCCTGTTTCTATGGATCGGCTGCCAACAGCTTACTTCAAAAAGTAGATCGCATTCAATATAAAGCTCTACGCATTAGCCTGGGGGCCATGCGCTCTACACCCATTAGAGCCCTTTTAGTTGAAGCGCTAGAGCCTCCTCTTGAGTTGAGGCGCATCATGATTAGTGCAAAGTTTCTTTCAAAGCATAAATTTTTAAACACAAATTTGGTGGACAAAGTAATTAAACTAAACATTCATGATTTGACAAATAAATACTGGCAAAAAAAAAGATCCCCTCCACTCTGTGAGGCGTTTCGAGAATTGCAACCAATATGGGAATTTATAGTGCCTCTAGATTTCTTTGATTATGATTATAAAAGTTGCATACAAAATAAGTCAATTAGGTATCCCCTATTTACTGACAATCCTGCCATTAATAAAAAGTTAATTAAATCAGAACTAATGAAATACTCTACATGTATACATATATACACGGACGCCTCAAAATGTGCTGAAGGAAATGGTGCAGCATTTTATATTCCTAGCTCAGATATAAAACGTCAGTTCTCTATTAACACACACTGCAGTATATTTACCTCAGAGGCTATTGCCATCAGGGAGACACTTAAATTTTTGTTAAGTAGTAAATCCAATGATTTTGTTATTTTGTCCGATTCCATGTCTGTACTTCAAGCAATTGAAAATAGATATTCATGGTCTTATAAAATAAATCCTGTCATATGGGAAATAAAAAAATTGATTTATCGCCTATCCCTTTTAGAAAAGAATATTAACTTTATATGGGTTAAAGCCCATACAGGCATACCTGGAAATGAAATTGTAGACCAACTTTCCAAAAAAGCGGTCACCCATGGCATTCCAGTACAAGATAGCTTATGTCCTACTGATCTTGTCGTAGAAATAAAAAGAATTATAAGTGATAAATGGAATCTGATGTGGGAAAAGATTTGTAAAGAATCCCCTACAAGCTATTGTAGATTAGTCACAACTATACCTTCTAAATACTGGCACGACACACTTAATGTTTCAAGGCGTTTTTTGACTACAATAATAAGAATGAAGTTTGGACATGCTTGTTTTCCAGCTCATTTAAATAAAATTCATGTCTTAGAATCTGATAAATGTAGCTTTTGTAACACAACTGGTGATTTAAATCACATTTTTTTAGAGTGTAAACAATACAGTCATGAAATTGACGAACTACTGTATAAACTTAGGATAGAATGTAATGTGGCTTGTCCCCTTAATATTACGCACTTACTGGCACTTAACAATGTAAAAGTATTAACGGCTCTTATGAACTATCTTAGTAATATTGGTCTAAGTATTTAAGTGTAGTATGGTACAATAAATAGATTAGGATTAGTTAGGTTAAATAGATTCCACTACTCCCTTTATGTGAATACCCTTTCAATCCGTGGTCTATTCTTGTGTTGTCAAAAAAAGTCGCCCTGATGGACCCCAGAGGCGTGAAAAGAGTGTCCCAGTCTGTGTCCCTTTATGTCTGATTATTGTAGTAATAGTATACTTACTAATGGAAGTAGTTGAGACATATATTTTATCTATGTATATACTTATGTATGACTTATTTCATATTATAAAAGTATCAGTCGAAACAGCTCTCGTACTCAAATAGGTTAGAATATTTTAAATTTCTGAGATTTTGGTATGTAGATTGAAGCAAATAACTATATTTGTTGGAAAAAATTTTTTTTTCTTTTTTTTACAAAACTAAGCGTATATGTCTTAGCTTCAAAAATTGCAACTGGCTGTATGGTAAAGGCCGCATGCCAAAAAAAAAAAAAAAAAAAAAAAAAAAAAAAAAAAAAAAAAAAAAAAAAAAAAAAAAAAGCGACGCTTTTCCCTAAAAATCTCAACTGAAATAAACCAATGTTCTCCCATTTTTAATTACTTTATTTATTTTTTATTTTTATTATTTTTTTTCATTGTGTGGTAATCTCCACACTTTCTGAGTGGCATATTTGTAGAATACTTAGTTAAGCACAATAATATAGTAGGTACTCAAAAATTATATAGGTTTAGATTTAGAACTAGATTTAACCCATGTCTAAATAAATGTTTTGAATTATGAATATATGGTAAATGTGCTGCGCGCTGGTAGGTAAACTGCCTTAGTAGCACTCACCTATTTATTCGGATTCCTGTAATTTATAACAATGTTGAAATTATAATTCTTGAGATTTGATTAAGGTTAGATTAAGGTTAGGAAACAAAATTGTACACTTTGAAGGAATTTGAATAAATTTACATTTACATTTACATTTACATTTACATTCCGAAACAGCAATGATTCGTCCTGAAAAACTTCATTTTAGGTACTTGTGACAAAAATAACTATTTTCTTCTACGTTATTAGGTACACAAATGACCTGCTAACAGATTTTATCAACGTGGTCATGAATAGGGTTGAAAAGAGACTCAATATATTTGTGTCTATGGACAAAAAGCGTAACAATGATAATACTAGACCTAATTTGCTGCTTGGTACAGCAAAATTATAAAAATTTCAGGAGTGACAAAAAACAAATAATATTAATTTCTTATTCAATATCACGTTTAAATGTTATCC